GGGGTCAGGTGGATTCAAGGGCTCTCCCCCCCCCCCCCCCCCCCCCCCCCCCCGTCCTCACCACTCGGGCCAGGAAAACCAAGGTCTGGACCAGGGAAGGGACTTGTGTTGGGAGGCAGGCTGGGGAGTCCCTGACCAGGTCTCTGAAGAGAAGGACCAAAAGGTGCTCCTGGCTGGGCGAAGCCTTGGGGGAGAGGAGGAGGACCCAGATCCCCTCTAGGAGGCTGTCCCATGGTGGGCGAGATCATGGGACCGAATCCCCCCACTGGGCCTGGCATCATCTGCCCACCAGGTGGGCTGAAGTTTTGGCCCAGAGACTGGTTGAAGGGTTGACTGGGAAAGTTCATGTTGCCTGGTGGTGGATAGCCAGGGCCCTGAGGAGGCATATTAAAAGACGGGCCCATAGGGTTAGGAGGGAAAGGAGGGGGCTGTTGACGAAAGGAAGTGGCTGGGGACCTTCTCCTCCTCCAGTGCCATAGCCTGGGGGTACCTGGCCTGTCATGCCCCCCTGTACACGAAAGCCTCCAAAGGGCACAGGACTGCCAAGGAATGGAGAGCCTATGCCCCCACCTTAGGGGCTCCGAAGTCATCTGCAAAAGGATTAGAAGCAACCAGGATCCACCGTGGGAGTTGGGGGTGGTGCGAACTCCGTCAGATGTGAGTATGCAGGACCCTGAGTGTTGGACTTTCTTCGTTTCTTTTCGGGGCTCTTCATTTGCAGACCGTGCTGGGCGGCGCGGGGGGCGGTGCGGGGCCACTGCCTCCCTCCAGCTTGTCCGGTGGGGGCGGCGCCGAGGCGGCCATGGATTGGGGGACCCGAGTCAGCGTCGGCGGGAGAAGCAAGCGTCCTCAGGCCGCACCATCGCCCGGAGGAGGGTCAGGGGCAGCGCAGCACCCCCGAGCTGCAGCAAGCCCTAGACGTGCAGCGGGGGAGGCGAAGAGCCAGAGCACAAACTGCACGCCTGCTCCAGACTCACCGCCCGCCTCATTGTTACAATTTTTAGAGCAATATTATTTTGTTTTGTTCTAGGTCCCTCGGCTACCTAGACCCTAGGGGTTTTTGTTTGTTTGTTTTTTTGTTTTTTGTTTTTGTTTTTGTTTTGTTTTGGGTTTTTTTTTTTTTGGTTTTATCATCCAAGCAGTATAATATATGGGTCTATGCTATCGAGTTGGCCTCAAGTCAAATCAGACATTGGTTGGTTACTTCCACAAGCTTTGAGCCACCATTGACTTAGCATATTTTGCAGGTAGGACATACTGTAGGTCAAAGGCTTTGTAGTTGGCTTGGTTCCTTTTCTCTTTTGGTGGCCTTTCTATGTAATAGACACAGCAGCTCTCAACCTGTGGGTTGCAACCCCCACAATGGTCCCATATCAGATATCAAATATTACATTACAATTAGTAACAGTAGCAAAATCAGTTATGAAGTAGTAACAGAAATAATTTTATGTTTGAGGTCACCAAAGCATGAGGAACTGTATTAAAGGGTTGGAGCGTTAGAAAGACTGAGAAACACTGCAGTAGAATATGGGAGTAAAGGTTCTGTGTAGACAGCAGCTGGACCTCTCTATGTTCAATGAGTTGTGTGTGTTGCCTTCAGCAGTGGGGCTTTGCTGTCAGTTGTGGAGAGCAACCTATCCTCTTGTCAACAGCTGGGTTGTTTGGGGATTTTCACGGGACCCCTTTGGCTAACAACTCAGATGGATGAAGCTCTGTCCTGGCGCTGGAAGCTTCATTTGGTGACAATAGATGGGCCTAGATATTTTCATTGCCAAATATTGTACATATTAAGAAGTAATTAGTATTAAGTTTTAGATTTTCTAGGCTTTATTTTATGTGTGGGTGTTTTGCCTGCATGTTTGTCTGAATGTTGTGGATGTACAATGTTCCTGGAGGCCAAAAGAGAGCATTAGATCACCTGTGCAGGGTTCAAGAAGGTTCTGACCAAACCAGGGCCTCTGGAAGAGCAACCAGTACTCTTCACCCTTGAGACATCTCCCCCACCCACAAATATTAATCTTTTTACAAAGTCAGACCATTAAAAAGAATATTTTCTGTTTCACTTTAGGAGCCCACAGTAAACGTTAACAAAACTTGGCAAGACATTATTTGAAAGGAAAACACAGGGTGATGTTTCTCACATAGCTGGATGCAGAGACCCTCACTATATCCTCAAATCTAACCTTATATACAAAACATTAACTCACTTCATATAGGCTGACTTGTTTTACAATTCAAAAAAATGAAAATCTTTAAATTGACAGAGCAATGAAGAAAATGGTATCAATACCAGAACGACAGTAAAAGTGTTTGGTGAAGTGCAAAATAAAACCTCTCAGAAATCAGAGACAGAGTTTCCTTACTGATTGGCACTGTCTACCAGCGGCCTTCATCAAGCATTTAACTGGGGCCCTCCCAAGTTCAGATGGTAAATAAATGCCCGTGGTCATGTGGCTGGATACTCATAGAAGCAAATTGGCAATTTAACAGAATTACGTTAAGTGAATATAAAAAAAGATATTATATTCACCTTAAGTGAATATAAAAAAGATATATATTTAAGCTCTTGGAATTAAAAAGTAAATTCCATCAATATATTTAAGTAGAAAAAAACAAATAAAGGAGGTTTGTGCTTCTTTAGCTGGAATTGTAAAATTAATAAAACTCCCTTATGCTGCATAAATCTGACACTCAATCAGCACTGCACCTGTATGTGGTACTTTTCTCATTGTAACAAAGAACTTAAGGGAAGGGCTTATCAGGGCTCACGGTCTGAAGGTAAAGTCGGTCGACGGAGGAAAAGCCCAGCAGGCCATGCCATGGTCACAGTCAGGAAGTGAAGAGATAAACGCTGGTGCTCAGCTTGCTCTCACCTTTCTATTCAGTAAGGAACTGTCGGAATCCAGGGATGTGGATCTGTCCCACCCTGACCAAAGGTCAGAGAGTTCAGGCCTATTCTTGCTCCTCCATGGTTATGACAGGAGTTTTGACCTATGGGATGCTTGGCCTAAGGTGTGGCCACTGCATGTCCTGCCTAAACAGCAGAATACTCAGCTCAGGATATAGTTACTTGATGTTTCAGGTATTGAAGAGCTAATTGCTCTGTCTATTCTTTGTATCATAGTAAATAAGTCTTTTGCTTTCTTCCCCCCCTTTTGGATTTGGGTATATAAGCATACAGAAAATAAACGTGGGTGAATTCAGTGTTCACTGGGTTGCCCTCCTGATTCTATTCTGTGTCTCTAATTCTTTTGTATCTCTGTTTTTTTCTGCCTAATATTTCTAATCCACATGTCCCTACCCTGGAACATATGAATCCATTGAAGTTGGACCCTGTCATGGGACCCCAGTCCAGGGGATGGTGTTGCCCACATTCAAGGTAGGCATTCCCTACTCTCTGAAATGCTTCTGGAACTCATCTATCTATCATCTATCTACCTACTATCTATCATCTAGCTATCTATCATCTATCTATTATCTATCTATCATCTATTGATCATCTATCTGCCTGTCTGTCTGTCTGTCTAGTGTTGTCATTTCTTATGCTCTTTTCTCTGCCTCCCATGTTCCTTCTTCTCCCTTGCTCTGATCACTCATTCATTACGTATTGTTATTTTCTCTGAGAAAACTGTCCCAAACTGAGCCCCAAGTCTTGGTTTAGCACTCCTGTCCACAACCACAGTGCCCTCTGACCATTGTCAGCATCCAATATTGCAAGTGCCTCTGTGTGTGTCTAATTCACCCTGCAAGTTCCAGAAGGGGACCTAGAGGCAATGAAGGCTGGGTCTCCAACCAGTGAAAATGGCCAGCGAGGAGATGGAGACAGCACAAAGTGCACAAAAAGGTTATTCCACAACATAGTGCAAATGTTAAGTGAGTATGTACAGACATTCCTAATAAAACCATGGCTTAGCCCCAGCCAATGGGGCTTACAGACACCTGCTTAGAAAAACCATAGTTCCTTGTCCCGTTGATGCCAGCTTGCCCATGGTTTGCTTTGGTCAACAGAATACAGGAAGGTGTAATATAATGTTTTTTCCGGTTGTATTTTTCACATTTCTTTTCTATTTTGCAGATCAGCCGCTAGATGTCGCCATATGGCTCCATTTCTGCACTGACGTCCACCTTCCACCCTGAGAAGTCACCGAGTTTAGCATTTCTCTAGTCCGGGTAAGACAGGGCAACAAGAACACCCGAAGGAACGCGACTCTGTTTTAGCTCAAGGTCACTTCCGGCTCCTGAGAGCTGAGGAAAGCTGCCGAGTGCTCCGAAGACTTTCAAAGCATCTTTGCTCTCCTGCGTCCTGATCCCAAGTGGGATTTGTATGGGTCGTGCCCCCCTTCCTGTTAGCAGGGATCTCCTTAGCGGCGCTCACCTTTCCTCCTAACCTGCTTTACAGCAGGCCTTGGGGTTTGCCGGCTTTTGCTTTCTACTGTTTACTTTTGTTATTTGGGTGCATTTAAAAGGAAACTGCTCCTACAGCCGCGTGGACACTGGAGTTGAGTTCGCATTCCAGTTTCCTGAAAGATTTCCCCTGTCTCCTGTTTCTTTCATTGCTGTTTGAACTGTCACAAGTTTGAAAGCTTTTCAGTTCCCAAGGGCATTCAATTCATACACAAGAAGCCTCGTTCTTAATGAGCCAGAAGGTCCTCCCTGTTCCTAGTCTACAACAGTCTAGCGCTGTCCTGGACCTTATCTCTTTGTCCAGCTGAGTGGCTCCCCTGCCTTGCCCACTTCATTTACATAAAGTAAACTTAACTCAGCGGGCAATTCTTTGAAACGAAGATTTTTTTAATTACACACGTCCTGCCTTAGTTAGGCAGCCCTCTGGTTATCTTTATTAACAGACACTAAATAATTTTGCATCATTTAAATGCCCTCCAGTGTGTACCAACTGATAGGGCCCCCGGGGAAGGTGGACCTGAGAGATACTGGCAAGTGGGCAGGGCCAGGGAATAACGTTTAGCCTTTCTGACAGGGAGCTAAGTGACACTCCCAGTATGCAAGAGAACGTGTCCAGTGAGGCACCCACCGCAGGTGAGTAGTTTCGACTTTTTTATTTATGAAACCTGGAATTGTTCCCATTTTTGTTTTCTTACCTAACTGAGCAAATGAATCGAGTGTGTATTAATTTCAGTCTGCTGGGTGGGTTTTCTAGCACTTGGCTGACATGGGAGCTAGGAGCAAGAGTGGTACAAAGCAACCCACTATTTGGGGCTGAATTACAGTCTCCCAGTAGGAGAAATTGGCTTCAACTCTAAGACTAGACAGAATTAAAGAAATTGTATCGAGTATGAGTAATATCTTTATATAAATAAACATGTTACTTCGTTTGGGCTATAAAGAAAATTACTTCCAAACTAACGTTAGTAGTGAAGGTTAGGATAGATTGTGGCCTTTCTTTTTCAAAAGTAATATATGCAGTTTCTCCTGCTGAAAAGAGACAGGCTGTGCGTAAGTGTGAGCTCAGAACCATGAAGGGTTTCTTCTCTTTGTGGAACTGTTACTGAAAACAAAAAATAAAATAAAAAGGGCCCAGAAGGTGGATGAGGAGCAGGCAACTGCGTGAAGTCTGTTTTATCCATAGGTTTAGCTGTGAACTGGGCCTGAGAAAAGTTACGCAGAGCCTTCTGTGAGATGCAGCCATGAGAGTCAGACCCCCCAGCAGATGGAATGAGGCAGGGATTAAAACTACGGGTGCAAGAAACAGCAGAACTGGGTTCAAATCTAAAAGTCCAGAAAACATTGAGGCAAATCATTGTCCCTCTCTTGGCCTCTTCTAAGCAAAATACGTCTGCTTCACAGTGATGTGCAGGAATCCATGTCCCTGCCAAATCTTTATAAGAGTTTCATTTACTCTCAGTCCCCAACACTTGTTAGTTTTTTCTTTTTTTTTTAAGAATACCTATTCCAGCTAGCATGATGGATGACACATGCTTTTAAACCCAGCACTCAGGGCCATAGGCTGATAAATCTCCGTGAGTTCAAGCCAGTCTGGTTTACACCGCACATTGTAAGCCAGTCGGGGTTGTACAGTTTGACCCTGGGAAGCTAGCTCTGTGAGTCAGAACCCTTGTAACTCGTCAAGAGGACCTGAGTTCCCAGCACCCACCTGGCAGCTCACAACTGTCTATAAAGATCCAGTCCTAGGGAATCTGATGCCTCATTTGGCCTCTGTCAGCACAAGGTGTACATACATACATGCTAGAAAACACTCATACGCGTAAACTAACTCTTTTTTGAATAGCTGTCCCAGCTGGAGTGCAATAATAGCGCCTCCACACACCTGTGGTCTCCTTGCGTTTTTCAAGAAGTATCTGTCATTTCTCTAGTTTTAAGGATTTCTTTGTGTTTTTAAGTATAGGAATTTTTTGCGTGTTCTGCCAGATGAATAGTTGACTGATTTTGTGCTGTTCTCGAGGCTGTGGGGAGCACATTTTAAATAACTTGCCTGCCTTTTCCTTACAGGCCATTCTCTTGTAACTGCCCTTCTTAGACCTTCAACGTTAGCTCACAAAGAAGAGCATTCGACATTGTTGCCAGAATTGGGTAGGACCTATGTTTTCGTGTAACACGTTTCCATAGTTAAGAGCACTTGTTGCACTTGTGAATGCCCTGGGTTCCCAGCAGGCACATGGCAGCTCACAAGTGTCTGTAACTCTAGTTCTAAGGGAGTTGGTGCCACTTCTGGCTCCCACAGGCACCAGGTACATAAGGATGTGCATACACACATGCAAGCAAATGTAACTATAAAATAAAAATAAGAAGTGTTTTTAATTACCATTCTAGCTGGGGTGAGATGTCAGTTCTCTGTGGGCTGTGGGAGGCTCATTGTAACTAACTTCTCTGTCTTTTGTTGTAGAATCTCCTAGCCCATCGCCCACTAGCCCATCGCCCATTCACCTGTTAACTTCAACTACACATAACCAACATTATCCAGTATCAGGTAGGTTCTGTGTTTGACTTAATAGGTTTCAAGTCATTGCATCTTATCTGAGCCTCCAGTAAGGCACATCTGCAACATCTGGGTCCAGCAACCCTGACACTAAAACATTGGCCAGAGCATCCCACGGCTCCCTCTGGGGGTGGTCTCCTGAATTTCTTTCTCTTGCCTTTTTACTAAGCAGGAATTTTTCTGCAGAGAGAATCAATTATATCGTGCACTGAAGAAACGCTTAAAGGATTTAGAAAAGCAAACTGAACGAACACAGCCCTGCTTCTTAGGAAGCCTGTGTTAGCCAGCAGTGATTTAAGGTCAATGGAGGAAGACACACGATACTGTGTCCTCTGTTGTGGTTGTTAGAATGTGTTTAAAGGTTTGTGGTGGAACTGGCACTCAGAGGATACAGTGGGGGAAGAGCAAGAAGTCAGAGTGAACGCACGGGGCGAGCCATGGGTAGCAGTTTCCCATCTTAGGGTCTCAGGAGGCTTGTTCCTATTGTGAGGTGGGAATTCTTTCCCAAGTACCAAACAGTCACACTTTCTGTAACTAAGAGTATGAGAAAAGCTGCTATAAATAGGACCTCAGGCCACCCCACTGCTTGAAGACTTCTACCATATCCCTAGAATGAGGTGCTGCTCTGGCCAGTGCCTAATTCTGAGCTGGGAATGGCCCCCGAAGCATTGCCCATCTTTCCCTCCTTTTTCTTGCCCCATGCTCATCAGACAGATTTGAGAAGAGAGTTCCAACCCTCGTCTCCTCCACAGATATCTTCTGAGATGTTCACATCAGGGTCAAATTCAGCAACTGACTGAGCTTCCTCTGAGGTGGTATAGAACAAAGACACTGTTCCATTGAAGCAATGAACCTGACAGAATTCAGAAAACCAACTCCTCACCTCAGGGAAGAAAATTTAGTACTTAGAAATGTGTGTAGATGTATATCAAAGGGGTTCTGTTTGCTGTGTATCTTCCAGGTCAGGCTGAAAGTGAGATCTGCTTTGAGGACCATTTGGCCTTTTTCCTATCCAGGCTCCCACCACCCAGGACCTCACTTTGTCAATATTTCCCAGCAGTTTCCACGCAGCTAGCAATCACGCATGCTCAGTGCTGTTAGGAACCCCTTGGAACTCTGTGTCCAAGGCTACAAAAGCACACAGTCAGTCACAGAGAAAGTAGGGTCTCTACTTCATAAAAACTATCTCAAAAATAGATGGGCTTCTATTGCTTCTGATTGAACAGGGTTATAATATATACTCAAATATTGTGTGTATTTGTTACAAGAAAATGAGACGTCGTAAAGAGTTCTTACTGAAGCCTGACCCAAGCCCAATCTAAACCTTTCACGTGCTTGTCTTATTACTCTACAAGTTCTTTGCAGATGAAAGACACGGGAGTTTAAAATGTTTTCAGAACTTACCTCTAGCCAGTGAGCGGCGAAGTCTGTGTGCAAATCTAGACAATTCGTCTGTAGTATCCTCATGCTCCACCAATATCCCAACCCCCCAAAAAAGTTGCTTCATTTTTACCAGCATGAAATATACTTGGCATAATGTTCACCATTTTTGCCGTCCTAAGTGTTTGGCTTGCCCAGAGTGCTGTATATCCGTCACCGCTGTCTGCCTTCAGAATATCTTCCTTATTCCAAAAAGCCATCTTATGTTGGTTACCAGTCAGCCTCTCCCCCATGCCCACAGTACCATAGCAACTGCTAATTCTCTTTCTTCTGCTATGGATTTGTTTTTCATATTTCAAATAAATAGATTAATACAACAGGTGGCATTCATGAGGCTTGTTTCTCCTAGGATAGTATGTATATATGTGTGTATTGGAACATGAAGTATTTATTCCTTTTTATGGCTGGAAGTTATTCTACTGAATGCATTAATTATCCATTCATTGGTTGGCAGAGATTTAATAGAAATATGTGCATTTGGGCTCTTGTGAATCGGGCTGCTATGATTATTCCTTTGCGACTTTTTTGGGGGGACGCCCATGTCAATAATCACAGAGGTAGAATTATGGAGTCAGATATTGCAATTTTGTTTGCTGAGTTGGCCCCAATACTGTTTATTGTGTGTATGTATGCGTGTGTGTGTGTGTGTATGCATGTATATGTACATCTAGACTGTGAAGGTTCCAGTTTCTCCAGATCTTTGCTCACACTTGTGATTTTCGTCTTGTGACTAGCTGATGGTCCTGTCTTACCCTGCGGTAAGGACCGCATGCTACAGTGAACCTGATACTCTTAAGCTACTAAAGCTCCCAACTTAGGCCAGCCTCTCCTAAGTGTGTTCAGAGTGCTTGTGTTAGCCTACAGTTGGGCAGACCCATCTAAGGAAGGCCTATTTCATGCACAGTGTTGAAGGTCTAGGGTACTATTGAAGGCCTCTGAAGGTGAGAGAAGCCTGGATGCCCATGACCTTTTCCATGTTGATCAACACATGGAAAGTCTTATGCCAGTCCACACTGCTTTGGCTGACCGCCTCGTAGCCATGCTCTCCGGTGTGGCATGGAGTTCACAGTCTTTTTGATTTGCATTTCCCCAGTAACTTTTAGCACAGTTGCTGGCCGTTTTCATTTCATGTATATCTTGGAGGAAAATGTCTATTTAAATGTTTACAATGTCTAAATCTTTCTGTTGTATAGTTATAAAAACTCTGTGTGTATTCTAGATGCTATCTTCTCAGACACATAGCTTGAAGATATTTCCTCCCATACTGGGATCATCCTTTTGCCCTTGGTACTGTCATTTTAATGTATTTTTATAAACTTTATTTTCTATTTTGTTGCTTTGTTTATGTTTTCATATACAAAGAACCATTTTTCCAAATTCAAGGTTATAAAATATATCTCTACTTTTCTTCCAGGAATAGTCTTTTATACATACTGTGTATGTACACAGAGACACACACACACATTCTATATGATATTTCCTATGTATGCACATATACTATATATATTCGATATGATAGTTCCAATGTATAGACACATATTATATATGCATATATATCTTCAATAAATCTTGAGTTAATGTTCTTAGACGACATAAGAAAATTCACTTTACCCTTTTGCATGTGAGTATAGCAGTCATTGAAAATATGACCTTTTCTCATTGACTGTCCTCCACAGTCTTTTGAAAATCAGTTAGTCATAGATATAAATTAACTTCTGGACTCATAGGCTATGGATGCCCTCAGTTTGGTGGCAGTAAAGTATTTAGGGAGGAAACAGTGAAGCAGATCCATCTGAAAACGTATCAGCAACGTTATGGGTCATTAGTGTAGGCATATACTAACTTCTGCATGATGCAATTGTCTCAGGGGATCTAAGAACCCTCATAATTGGGTTCCATAACCAAATATGCTGATTAGACAAATATGGGGCTGAGAAACTATGCATAGCCTGTGGGTTTTGTGCAATCTACAGCTTATGGACTTTATATTTTTAAGAGCTCAGGAAAGCAAAAGAACACATGAATGTCACATGAATTGAGCTTCCGCCCATCAGTCCTAATGAGAGCCCAGCCATATCCTCAGTATGCTTTGTTTCTACACTGTCTCTGCCTGCTTTTGCCCAAAAGCAATTTAAACCGCCAGGTCTCCACTAAGGCAATGTTCAGGAGTGATAAGGACTCCCTGCGAGGAGGAGTGGCTTGTGTGCAAGGGGACTGCTTATCCAGAGTGTTCTTGACTACAAGGAGGGGGTGCCCTCATGCAGCTCCCCAGTCACGCTCTCTTTATCCATTCCACCTGCATGCTACTGACAAGGGTTGTCACCTATCGGAACTGCAGTGTAGGACAACGTCCACATTCACAAGTGGCCCGCATTGTGTGGTACCTGCCGGTCCCTGTAGCCTTTTCCTCCACTGTCAATCTACTTCTCTGTCCCTTTCTTCTCATGAACTATAAAGCACTGGTAGTTCCCCCAATCTGTAATGACGTCTCAAATTCTAGACCAACTGTGATGTTATTGGTTCTGTACCTATATGTCTATGCAGTCTGGTGGTGACTTTCTGCGAGATACCACCAGAGGTATGGTCACTTCAGAGCTGAGAAAACTAGGGCACACCCACCCTGTCTCTGTGTCTCTGTTGCATAGATGTCCTGAAGCTGCCACCAAGGGCATGGGGTGAAATTGTCTTTGGCTGAGTGTTTTACGGAGCACCCAGTCGCTTCATGTTTATGCCCTTTCTCGACTTCTGTTTTACACAGGTATTACCGTCAGAACAAATAATATGTCTTTCAATGAAACGTCTGTCACTCCTGAAGTTCCCAGCACCTCAAGAGGTTTGTTGTGTTCTCACCTACTCACATGGAGTCTGTATAGTGATGGAGATTTCCTCAGTGGGATCCAGCTAGTGACTGTAGGGAAACCGACCAAGAGTGAGAAGTGCAAGCTCTGTATAGTGATGGAGATTTCCTCAGTGGGATCCAGCTGGTGACTGTAGGGAAACTGACCAAGAGTGAAAAGTGCAAGCTAAGGGGCCAGGCTCCTGATGCTCAGGTGCTCTGCTCTTGGAGTAGCTCATAGAAACAACACTGTGAACCAAAGAAACTGCAGCTAGGAAGGTACCCTAATGATAAATCAGACCTGGAATTGTGTGGACCAACGAAAGGACCTAGGAGGGAGGCCTTACAGAGTCTGAAGCAAACCAACTAGCTTACCTGGGCTGGCCTTGTTCCCTACAAACCTTGAATGAATTGCCTTGAGAGACCTCCATGCCATTACTCTTAAAAGGAAGCCAGTCATACTTGCCCCACAGTGTCTCTCCACAGATTAAATGGGAGCTAAGTCAGGGTGCAGGCCCCAATGCCTGCAAACTGATAGCTACAAGATCGGCTGGGTGTTGAGATAAGGGTGAACCTGTGGCCTAGTTGCTTGTGCAATCTCTCTCTCTTTCTCTGTCTCTCTGTCTCTGTCTCTCTCTGTGTGTCTCTGTGTGTGTGTGTGTCTGTCTGTCTGTCTGTCTGTCTAGTTCTCTGAAAGGAAAAAGGTAGAAGGTCTTCTGTGGATGGACTTGGAGAAGGTACTCCACATTTAAAATAGAGTCTCAAAAAGCCTCTGAATGGCTTCAGGGTTGTAAGTGAGTTGGAATTATTGAGAAGTATCTATGGAGAAGAATGGAAGCACTGGATTTCAGAATCCAAGGGAGAAAAATTAGGCTGAGTGCTTAGACTACTTTTTGGGCTCATGGATCTAACTAACAGTCTCACTGATGGTTAACTTCAACATGGAGCCAACATGATAATGTCAACTGGAAAACATGTAGGGCCCATGGTAGACACAGCACTACACGATATAGACTCTATAAAGGACAGCTAAGGTGGTAGGGCATTTTCATGCATCAGAAATTAGAGTCTAACAACAACCTAGAGACATAAAGATTTTAATTTTCTTATCTCTGAAAAAACCTGTAAATCATGGAGAAATTATGTAACCTGCTTAAGAACGCATATACGGCGTCCTGTGTTTGACTCCATAGCATAAAAGTTCAGTCCTGAAGACAGAGATAACAAACTTTGATGAACCTTTATTTTTTGGATATGTTTTGCCACTTTCTAGAATTCTCAGTCCTGAGAGCAGCAAAATATATCTAAATTTTTGGCTGTGTGATATCATATCCCACGAGACATTGTTGGCAATACAAACAGGAGGCTTCAACTGTGGGGGTGTGAGGGCTTCATGGGCAGCAGAGAAAAAATTCTATGGTGTGGACTTGTGGGGGAAGATTGATTCTGTTAGGGCTTTGAGGAAACAGCCAGAAAACTTAACAAATGGGCAGTCTGGTGGAACCGTTGCCAAACTTTCAAATGGGGCACAGTAAGCCTTGGGATTCAGATGCTGCCATGGTATAAACCTAGGCGATGGATAGCCATGTGAGCTTCTTTGGCTGGATTAGGGAATAGGGTGTGTGGACTGTTGGCTGGGCGTCTCTACTGTTCGCACCATTTTCCCGTTTCCATAATGGTGTCCCATCAGGACACCCATCAGGTGTCCCTCTGACATTCCCTTACCCCCCGCCCCTGCCAGTTAAGAAGCTGGTTGGCAAGCTTCTCACCCGTGAATATTTGTTGGATAGTGAAAAAGTCCACACTGAAATTCCTCTAGAAGTAGGAATGGCGTGATTCTTAAGACATTGTGTTATTTTCTGCTGCTAAAACAGCACCAGGACTAAAAACAATTTATGGGAGAGTTCTCTTGGCGTGTGATTCCAGGGGAGAGTCCTAGTGGAGGGGAGCATGGAGAAGTCACACCTGCAACTGCACATACAAAGCAGAGAGAGCCACTGGGAAGGGAGGCAAGGCTGCAGCTTCCACAGCCTGACACCAGCGACATGCTTCTTCCCTCGAGGCTGCGCCTCCCATAGCCTCCGCAGAGACTTCCACTAGCTGAAGAACCAAGTGTTCAAACACGTATTAGAACCAACACAGGCACTTTAGCGTTTGGAAGGTTGGAAAGTGACCAATAACCCCCACACATCCAAAATGGTTAAGAATAAGAAATCCTTTTGGCCCTGGACAACCAATTGGTGAGCTCTTCCCTAGGGAAGGTCATCCCTCCCATTCCCAGCACTCCTAAGCTGCCTGTGGTTTTCTGAAAACATATATACAGGCAGAATTATATAGACTGAACATTTAGCCATGGATATTTGCAAATATGTTTGTATATACATATGTGCACGCAATAACAGTTTGTTTGTTTGTTTTAAGAGACCATGAATTTGAAGGGCGGTGACGAAGGGTCCGTGGGAGATTTTGGAGGGAGAAAAGGGAAAGGAGAAATACAATTCAATTATAAACTCAAAAGGAAAAACGGAAGTCTATAGGCGGAGCTTTTCTGCTTCTCGGCAATCACTCCCAAATATTCACACAGAGACTAATATTAACTATAAATGTTGACCGATAGCTTACACTTGACACTAGCTAGCGCTTACAGTTTGAGCCATCTCTGTTCATCTGTGTTCTGCCCGAGGCTCGTTTCCTCATCTATGAACTTCTCCTGTTGTTTCTTCTGCATCTGGCTCACTACTCCTCTGACTCTGCCCTTCTTCCTCCCAGCATCCTCTCTGCCCTGAAATCCTTCCTAGCCATCAGCCAACCAGCTTCTTATTAACAATAGAGCCACACATTTTCACAGTGTACAGAAGGATTATCCCACAGCAGAAATCCTCGAATTTCAAAACTTTTTTGTGAAGACATATTCTACTTATTATTCTGACTTACTTGGAAAACTTTATTTTTCAGCAAGAATTGAACACCCTTTTAATGAACCAGGTATGTTGTTGTTTTAATGAAATGACAATTATTCCATTTTTAAATTGTAGCGTTATCGTTTCTTATATCTAAGAAGTGACAAGGGTCCATGTTAAAAGAGAAGAATATATGTCATTAGGTTTAGTGACAAAAGCTAATATTTCTGATTTTAAGGGAAGAACTTTTTTTTTTTAAGTTTGGAAGTAGCAATACATGATTGGGTCTTTTGTTTTTCTCAGTTAGATTTTTTTTTTAACCAACTATGGACATTTATAAAAGAAAAAAACTGAGTCTTCCTCTTCCAACTAATTAGTTGGCATCATATCAAAAATAAATGAAGACGATCCATGTCTCAGCCCTAATCTACCTTCAGCCATACCTTTACAACCCCCTTCTAACTGACGTCATGTCTGCTGCCCTTGGAGCTGCTGTGGACTGGCATAGGTCACGAGTGTGCTTCTTCACCACCCTGCAGTTTTCAGCTCTCCCTTACTACTTGGCCAATGATCACATTTCGTGTGGGAGAGAAGGTGATTGGAGAACTTGGCCACACGCTCACAAGTCACAGCTGATCGGTGGAGGAGGCTGCACACAAGTGGATATAAAGGCTACGCTTTTATAAACTATTTTTGCTTTTAAAATTAATAATTTTATTTATTAATAATACAAATAATTGTATTTAAGACATAAGTTAGCCAAATGAGTGAGTATTTTATCTGTATGTCTCGCCCTCAGTTCCGTTTGCTTCTTTGATCAGCACTATAAATAGACTGGACAAATGGGAAGTTCCCCCCAACTTACTAGTTTTAAATTGCTTCCTTCCCAATCTGCAAAAGTTCACAGAAGTATTTGTCATTGCATCCATGAGCATGTAGGATTTGGGCCATAACAAGGCAACGCTTAGAACACAGGTGACCAGTTCTGCTTTACCGTTGTCTGACTGGGTAGCTCAGACTCATTCGACTTGATTTCCTCATTTGTAAGCTGTGATTCTTCCAAACCTGTGATTCTATGATCTATTTTATACCCTTCGATACGTAAGAACTTTGTTTTCTCTCATCATGTTCAAACCATCAGAGAGTTTGTGGATTTTCCCAGTCAATGCTGAATATCAGCAAACTCTTATCTGATATTATGCCTGCAACGAACACTGAACTTAGCTGGCATCAGAACTCGGGGGTGGGGTTAAATGTTAATCCTCTGTGTGGCCAAGTGAGCATAAAGTTCCAGGTTCCCACAAGGTGACTGTTAAAATACAAAGTTTTTAAAGATTATATGTGAGCAAAATTATGAAGTATTAATGCGTTTTCTGTGAGCAGGCAAAGTCATATCACCCTGTTCGGTTTCTCAAATGACACAGCTGCCTTTTCACTTCCTCTCCTCTCCCATAGTGACAATCGCCATTGTTTTGGGAGTGATCGTTGGTATTGTTGGAACTATTCTTCTCATTTATTACTTAATCAGTCTAATAACAAAGGTAAGAGTTCAGCGGTCCAATTTGCTTTAAGTATCAGTGTGAAGAAGTTTGGGTGGCATATTCTCCTGAGTACAGTTGAACACAAAGAGAAGCAAAATTTTGTAGAACTCCATCCTTTTTAACTGGGTACATAAAGACAGGGAATCCTCAACTGAGCTGGTTTTGCACTTGCCAAACTTAAGGCAATGCCCGAATATAAATCCCTTCATCATGTCCCCATTAAAAGGTTGCACAAAGTTCTTGCCAAATATAATTTAGTATATGTTGATGTATATAGACACGCTAGTCAAATTTCTACTTGTATTTAATTTATGAATAAAATACTTAAGACAATATGTCATACTTAGATACATTTAAAACTTCTATTTATTTCCTTTTTTAAGATTTATATTGTAATTTTGTGTGTGTGTGTGTGTGTGTGTGTGTGTGTGTATGCCATGTTTATGCATTGCCTCCAGAGACCAGAAGTGACCAGGTCTCCTGGAACTGGTTGTAAGCAGCCCAGTATGGGTGCTGGGAACTGAACGGGTGTCCTATGCAAGAGCAGTAACTAACTGCTCCTAAACACCGAGCAGTCTCTCCAGTCCCACCTCTCCTTATTTCTATTCTCACTGTTTCTGAAGTAAATTATTCAAAATTCACACCACAATTTTCACCCTGTGAATTTTTAATGATTAAGGCCATTTTTAGAGACATGCACTATAGCGGCATAAAATGAGTTATCCCTACAATGCACAACACTATACTTTCAGGAATTATTTCTATAATTCGTTAAATACATATTCAACAGCTCTCTAGAGTATGCAGTTCTCTACCGGAGACATTTAAGACAGAAACTCTGTGTGAGCATTTACAGTGCTGTCCCGGGATCTGCAAGGCTCTGTCCTGTATCCCGAGCACCGAGTCATGTACGATTGACAGCTCAGAATTTAGGATCTTCTATTTTTAATCTTTCCCCAACTGCTCCACTGTAACCATGATCTGTCTCTGTTGTTTCAATGAAATTGGAGTGGTGACCACACTATGGTAGCAGGGCCATCACATTAAAAATGACAGGAAATCTACACCGTTTCTTTGCTAGAATCTTCAGCTACTTTATAAACAACTCCCATAATCAGCCAGTTCTATCACCGATTCTCATTATTCGATGTAAATGTATCTTTCTTAGCTAATACTTTGTCAACAGAGGTTACACACTTCATTATTTATTAGTTGTTCAGTTATATATTAATTTATGACTGCTTGATATGAGGTGTGCTCGATACGAGATGACGCCTTTGTCTGAAGTCTATACATTGTAGAAAAGTCATTTTCTGAGAAAATATATGAAAATGAAATTCCATCTTAGCTAATGTTCAAACCCTGAAATGTTCAGTTGGCAAAATTCATAGCCTATATTCACTTTATCTACAGAAGAATTGGGTTTGGGCAACATGAGTCTGGAATCGTAATCTCTTCATTTTGATTTTTATTTCCACATTCACTATTTGCTAGAGCAGAGAATATGGGAAAGTCAGTCTACAGGATCATGTGACCTCTGTTGAATTGAAATGCATATATAAATTTAAATTAATGAGCTGGGCATGGTGGCCCCTGCTTTTAAGCCCAACACTCGAAAACAGAGGCAGGTGGATCTCTATCAATTCGAAGCCAACGTGCTTTACAGAGAGAATTCTAAAACAGCCAGAGCTACATAGTGAGGCCTTGTCATAACAAAGCAAAATAGAATTTAAAGCAATGTTCATAGGTATCTATGAAATAGGAACTTTCCCCAGTAGAATTAGACTATATAACTTTCAACCCAAAGTAAAGGAGTTTAGAAAAATGTTTTCTCATTTGAAGCATTTTTATCTTCAAGGTGTCCTTGATTTGAAAAATGGTGGTGATATTTTTTGGGTTTTGCTCCTAGAAAAGCTCAGTTGACATACACCCTCCCAAGGATGAAGACACGGATGTGCCGCTAAGTTCCATTGAGCAGGTTAGTGGTGGTATCTCTACCTTCTTTTGTGTTTGGGGAAAAGGAATGAATTAGTGAATTCCATCTTTCTGAGTCATGCGGAAGCAAACCAACTGAATTCACCAATGCTAATTCCTTTTTAATGTGAAAATTGTTCATAGATTAAAGGGAATCTCTCCTAGGTAGGGAGCTTTTTTTTTTTTTAAGCGAAACAAATTCTATAAATGAAAGAGAAAACAACCTAGTGTGCTCCTTAGTTCACAACCTGCAAATCAATACATGTGGGAGACCCTACAGTGGTTCGGATATGATGCTGTAGTTACGGAGACAGCCAGTTTCCAAACCCACACCCCACCCTTTAGCTGGAAAACCTTGAGAAACTTGCCCTTTACTTCCCCAGCACATGAAAGGTGAGGTGGGCTGATTGTGGACTGGAGGTAGCCTGGGCTATGAAGCAAGAGTCTAATGGAGCGAACATGCCTCTTAGCTGGTGTCAGCTCTTTAGGCGCCTTTCCTAAATGACCTCCTCGTACTGTTGCAGCAAGTCTGGGCCTCTGCTTTCACCTCCCTATGCGGGTGCCAAGTTGGTGCACACATGCAAGACTTCAGGGATGTTTTATTCATTCAGAAGAATATTGCCCCAGGGTCATTGTTTGCTTTAAAGGAAATTTATTGCCAACCTTAAAGGTGGGAAATAAGCCATGCAGAGTGTCGCACGGGAGGGAGAGGCAAGTGAATCTCTGTAAATTCAAGGCCAGCCAAGTCTACATAGTGAATTCCAGGACAGCCAGGTCTATGTAGAGAGACCCTGTCTTAAACAAAAAAACAAAAGCAGAAAGTTCTTACATCTTAGAAACAAGGTGCCAGTATTCTGTCTGTGGGGGAAAACACAGACTTTACCAACACCGGAGATGGGGATAGGAGAGCAGGGGGCTCTATTACCAGTGAGGAGGCAATTCATCATAGCTGGATGCTGAATGGTCCCTCTACAGTGTGTCTACATACAGCCTTGATATCACTTCACCATACAGTTCTCAGGAAACTTTGCCTGGAGCACCAACCTAAGTAGTATGTGCTGGGGGAGAAGTCGTCAAGAACAATGAGCTAGAATGATCAAAATCAATTGTAGCTTTTCCTGTAATTATCAACAGTCATAATGGATGAACCAATTTTAGGCTCACTAATTTTTCATATTCAGGTTATATTTGTGAGTGAAATGAGTTACAGAGTTCAAATGCATCCCTTAAGAGACGTGAGAAAACACAAAATTCATTAAAAATGCTTTGGTCATTATTTTATGAAATACCATTCCAAACTGATGCTGAAGTCCTAAAAGGCCAGGATGCTCTGTGGTCTCCATTGAAACCAGGCATCTTCAGGAGTGGCCAAGGAAGAGAGTGCTGTAGCCTCCTTGTACTTGGTCATGACTTGTGCTTGGTGGGAAATTGAGGAAGTGCATTGGAGTCAGCTGCCCACTGTGGCTTCCTCACGTGACCCTGCCAGCCTGTGTCTCACTGGGAATATCTGAGATCCTGCCCTGTGCTGTCAAACACAGGAAGGCTGGGAAATGCTATCAGGGCAGATGCTCTCACTGTCCCTTTTATATGTCCTCTGAGACCTGACATAACCTTAGTCCAACCTTCCAGTCAAGAAGGTAGGGCTGCAGGTAGGGCTGTGGGGTGCAAGCAGGGAGCTGCCTGAGCCTCCCTCCTAGCAGTCAGAGGAATGTGCTGTAAGCTCCGTGCAGGTTCATCCTAAAGTGCTTTATTCCTAAGAAAGACCTCACAGACTGGGAGCCTTGACCATGTGTATGCAAATCAACTCGCTGTGTTACTGCCTTGGCACTAGGCCCCGCCTCTACCCACCTTCTGTGGTTTCTCACCTCTGGAGAAGGGAGGAGCAGAACTGTGTGTGTTTCTCACCTGAGATTTCCAAAATAGATTTTCAAAAGGAAAAAAACCTGTGCCTTTCTAAAACAAACAGACAAACAAAGCAACCCTCCAAAATAGCTAAACGGAGGTTATTTTATAACAATTATATTCAAAGACTCCTCCAAGAAGGCAGCATCCTGGCATCCATTTGATGCAACGATCTCATGGTGTTGCAAATATAACTGTGCCCTGTTTGACTGTTTTGTACCTGCCCCATCCTTCCACAGAGCGTTATTCAAGAAGAGCATGCCAGTGTCTGAAAGGCCTCAGAGAACACAAGACTACAGTCAATGGAAAAAGTAGTAGAAATCAGACATACCAGTACACTGTGTACCTTCCTGAGCTGTGCATTATAAGAGAAAATGTCACCATTGAAAGCTTCAGTAATTCACGATGGGGGTAGGGGTGGGGCGGGGGGAGCACCTCTGTTCACTAGCAACTGAAGGTGAAGAACACATTTCCTTGTCTGCTTGATTTTGAGTTGGTGTAAATTTTTATAACTACTTGACTAAAAGTTTGCTCCAAAATTTCAACTGAGATCATGTGCTGTCCCTTAAGACTGACTTCTTCGATTCTGTTATATTTTGTTCACAGGGTTATCGTTGAAAGGCTTAAGCGATTCCCTGGGAAATCCAAGCTTCCTTATCATCCTAAAGACTGAATCCAGTTTCATTCTTTTAAATAATTAAAAGGCCAGCAAATCCTACCCCTCTCCTTCCTTGCCAGACAGGCAACACACAGTTCCCTGTTAGTGGTGCAGGTGCTTTTCCCACACTAAGAGAGCTCACACTCAGAAATGCCACATGCAAATATACAAAAGGATACACATCCATTATTAGATGTATAAGACAACACCAAAGTACCTCCTATTTTGAATAGCGAGTTGCATTTTAATTATTCCAAGTAATTGGTCTGACAGTGTTAGACTGACTCCTTCGGAGAGCACACAAAGGTCACAAAGAGATGTTTCTGCAGCCAGAGAGCCCTGAGGAGGAAAATGACGGCAGACCCTTCCTTCAGTGGAAATCAGAAAGAAACTACAGCAGTATGTGCAACTGTGAGCCAATAAACTTCTTCAATCCACCCACTGAGAGCTTCCCTTGTTGATAAAACTTCAGAAAACCAAATAGAGGGCTTTCTAGATGCAAGGGACTGAGGGACTGTGTGACTATATTTGACTCTGACATTTCTTTATAGCAAGCCTTAAAATAATGAATGTTTTTATAAAAGAGGACATAAATTCGGGAGGGGATGGGAGGTAAGGTGGATCTGGAGTCACAGAGGGGGAATAAGAGATGAATATGTCAAAATATATTATATAAAATTCTCAAAGAATTAATAAAAATATTGCTTTTAAAATCAATATAAAAGCAAGACCTGTGACTATCCATTTCCAAGTTGATAAGATTTCAAATGGCTTTACCCTTGCTTTATGATAACTAAATAAATAACCATATGTACATATTGGAGATTATTTTATGCTTGTCACCTATTTAAAATAAAAAATTGAGATAAGAGAATATTTCTTTATGTATATTTTAAGTAGATTTAAGAGTATTATTAAGTTTATTTAATTCAATGATGACCCAAGTGCCAAAATAATTTTAAATGTACTTATTTCGAAAAATATAAAATGTTAGGTGAAGAGAGGGCCTGAGATAACATTATCTCTAAAATAATTTACTGGTCAAAGACAGTAAGAGATTAAAGTAATGTTCTGTCTCAACCAGAGCCCCAGACTGCAGAGGGTAATTAAAGTACAAATTGCTTTAGCCTTCTTGAACTATGGGATGTTTCTCTGTGTGTCTCAATTGGTTTCACATTGAAATTTAGTGTTTGTATGAAGAAGTGACCTTTATTCCCTTTGTAGTTTTTATAATTAAATTGGGGAACAAAAACAAAAAGAACTCTTTCCTGTGAAGACATCAGGACCCCATGCATGACCCTAACTGAAGTTCTTAAAATTGGGGATTGACGTGAGTATGGGTGGTAAAGCTGGTTAGATATCTTGTTATCAGACACTGGTGTTTTTTCTAGAGATGGAAACAGAGCGTCCCAGTGAGGGAGAAGGAGACAGAATGTGACCAAGGAGTGTGAAGAGCCAGGGAAGACTGTGGCAAACCAAGTGATGTTAATATCCAGGGCTGCGTCCATGGCCTTCTCGTGTGTTTTAGGCATTTATTCCACCAAATAGCTATTCTCCCAAAGAAGTTCCTGAAATCCAGTTGCTACTCAAAGAAAAAGATATAAAAAATTCCACCCCACAGCATGAGTGTGCTGTGTCAAATGAGGGCTAGCATGTCATGTCCCCAGTTCTGCTCCCCTGGAAGTCATGTTCTGGTGGCTGCAAAGTCACTTCCAGCTTCTAGAATTAAACACGTCTTCTGTTAGCAGTTTAAAACTTTCAAGAATGACAGCAAAGGGTAGAATATTCAGGGAAGGGCTTTATCTCCAACTGCACCCGTCAGCCCAAGGATACCAGATCATTCTGGAGTACTCTGGGTCAGAAGTCTCTGAAGGATTCCAGGAAACTCACATTCCCCCAAAGGAAAGGTAAGCTCAAAGACCCAGTGTTCCCACGTGTAGCACCCACTCTGCTTTCTCACACACCGACCTGCTCTGTCTTGCCCACAAGTGGGCATACTTTGCCTCTCTTATCCTAAAGTGGAGGCATAACAGGTCTCCCATCCTCACAAGAGACAGTGGCAGATCTACTGTTTTTAATATAGTGTAAATATCAAAGCAAGTATTACTCTGAATTCTTCAGAGGCACACTCACATAGTAATCAGATAAATTATATAGAAAGGTTTAATCTTAAAGGTAAATCTAAAGTGCCTGGTAAAATAAAGATTTCACAGGGTCCTGTGTCCTAGACTTCAGAACACCAGAACCTGGAGGACTGAATGCTACAGATAAAACAAACAATACTGCGAAATACTTTACATGACATTATTTTTGTTGTTTTGATGATCAGTGCCACCATTGTCCCATAAGACTTCCCAGCACTGGATCCCTACTCCAGGAAGGAATTAAAACATATGCGGTTTACGTTCCTTTTTCGAAGGAAACGTGAAGGTGGCTGAATGGCTAGAACAGCATTCTGGCAGAGGGATGACTGTCTCTTTCTTCTGCTGTGACTTAAGCTTCTATTCCTTGTCGGATAAGGAGAGAACTGAGTGTCTGTAAAGATTTATCAGAGTTTGCAGCATTAGAACCCCTGAATGCAAAGACATTACCATGCCTCATCTTAGTTTGTATCAGCCCCCGAGAGTCCTCCAAGTATAAGGATTCAACTTCACAGCAGCTGGATCACGGACAAGTCTGTGACACTGAGGGTTCTTGAGCCCAAGGGTGGCTTTAGGATGACGGTCAAGCTCTGGTGTGTCTGGCACACATCTGGCCAATACCCACACTGCTATAACAACTTTATCAGAAGAACTAGCATCAGAAATGCAGGATGAGCATGGGGGTGTTCTGATAGACTGCAGAGCCTTCTAGAGGCTCCACTTCAGAAACTAAGAGAACAGTCCTTCCCGTGACACCCAGAAATGACTCTCAGCATCTTCTCTAAAATATTCAGTGATGCATGCTCCCCCCCACCATGGAATGTTGATTCCAAGTAAACTCAGTGAGTTTGCTGATGGCCTCACAGTGTAAGAAACTTTAGTGGTTAAAATGTGCCCCCACTTTCTTAGCTTCTCTCGACTCCTGAAGGCATCCTGATTCTCATCCACACCTCTTTTGAAAATGGCTGTGGTTTCAAATCACCTGACTCATTCCTGGGTCATCCTAAGGACAATTCCCATGTCTGTGATTAGCACAGAGTAGCCTCACTGAAACACAACATAATGATAGCAGCTGACTATCAGTGATCCCTCTGCTGAGGACCTTGAGAAGACAGTGCCACAAGCAGCCGCTCTGGTCATCCACACAGAAGAACTTCCTTTTCAGAGCAGGGGCTGAGTCTGAGCAGCTCCCTAGGCCCACTGGAAGACCCTAGACATCTGAAAAGAAAGATGCCTTTAATTGTATCATTTGTTTTTGAACCCCAGTAACCTGAAGGAGTTCTAACCTACCCGTCCCCACTCACAGTTTGTATTGTTTCTGTGCCCAGCCGGGCTTCTCCTAATGAATCATTTAAACAGCAATTCTTGCTGTGGCTCACAGCTTGCTCCCACCATGCTTTGGTACTTTCTACTCCTTTCTTTCTTTCTTTCTTTCTTTCTTTTTTCTTTCTTTTTTTTTCTTTCTTTCTTTCAGGTGGATATTTGTGATTGGTTTCAATTGAATTAAATTAGACTATATTGAATAGAGTTTATAACCACCCATCAGTTGGAATTTAATTTTTTTCTTGTTCCCTGTGGCTGATTTATTCTTCCTGAATAGATTCCAGAGAGAAAAGAGGATGACTAGAGATGGGATCCACAGTTTGGGGAGTCCAAGCCTGCATAGGAGACTGAGCCGCTGGCATTGATACCCCGCTGGAGAAAGCTGCTGGGGTCAGCCTTCCTGCTGGGTTCCTGCATGGTTGATTGTCCAGTTCCCTGGCTTTCTAGGAAACTTCACACACTAAAGAATCCTTCTCTGTAGACACAAAAGTTTCTAAGACGGAAATTTTCCTTTTACTTATTTTTTTTGCCTTTGTCTGCTCTCTTCCTGTTTCAGATGAAAATTTCATAACCAAAAGTAAGAATTATAAAATACCTCAATATATTAGGTCAGATTTTTAAGAATTAACAATTAATAACAAGTAAGCTTTTTTTAAAGCACCTCCCCATCTGTGGAGACAGACACACAGAGAAAGCACCAAAACCTGTTGAGAAGGAAAACTATGCCTGTGTTGCTAACAAGCTGCCACAAAAGTAACAAAGCCAGGAATTTGGCCAGCAAGTGAAATGGTGAGCAAAGATTAGCTGTCTGGTGTTATCCGCTGAAAATTAGAAGAACTAATCCAAGTCCCTCCCACACGTGGCACGGGTCTGTCCCGGCCTGATAGCCACAACCCTAAAAAAGCTGTATGTGTGCCTTGCTCAATTCTGAGAACTCTGGCGTGCTACAACTGGACAGGCACAGTGGTGAGGTTCCTGCTTGCTCAGCTCTACACGAGCACACAGGAGTCCTGGGAGTCTGTGAGAGACAAGGTTTGTGCCTTGCTAGTTGCTGAGAAGTGGGAGCTTGCATGACACTGGTGTGGCTTTGGTGCACGGCCTATAAAGGCCATCATGTTTGTCTGGGATAGTCTGGTTATGAGCAGAACAGAGAGACTTTAGGGGAAAAAAAAACTGACACCGGGTGATGGTGGCACATGCCTTTAATCCCAGCACTTGGGAGGGGGAGGCAGGCGAATCTCTGTGAGTTTGAGGCCATACTGGTCTATAGAGAG